TTGGGTATTGATGCCTGGTTGGGTTGGATTTCGTTTATTTTCAACACGGCAGCACCATTTTGGCATGTCTCATTTCTTGAGAATTTATTAGTTACTGCCAACATCAATGTTTGTTTTCTTATAAAAAAGAAAAAAACTTATGATTCATAAAAATGAAATGATGCACATGACTGGTGAGGGGGCGGTAGGTGACTCACTCTGGCCTTCCAAATTATGCAAACAATTATTCCTGTAGTGAACACTTGTCTCTCGTGGTTAGGTAGTGTAAAGTTATACGCCACTTGGTTATCAATTAGCAACTCAAACTCTAATGATATCAAATTTGCAATGATGCCTCGGTTAAAACAGAAGTTAATATGCATGGGACGGATACCTCCTAAAGCATGTAAGCAATTAATGGGGTATCTTAGGCCAATGGCAGCAGGAATCATAGTAACCAATCCTCTTATGAGGATAGGACCATGGGTCTCTCGGGCTATCCTGTCTAGGCTCGCTAACATAAATGTAGCAGCGTTCACGGGTCTACCTTGGGAGGCACAGAAAATGATAAACAGCTCGTCTCTAGACACTGAGGTAATGTTTTCCTCTTTCCCAAATAGAGTTTGGGCTAGGATTTTGTAGAAGTAGTGAATAGCAAGGTTGTGGATGTTCTCAGAAAACATAGAATTTGGTTCGTGATGGTAGTTTCTGGTTATGCTCCCCTAGAAGAATTCAAGGTCAAGATTCATGAAGGCATCTTCCTGAGCTATGGTAAAGACATCTGGGGCACTAGGAAATCCTAAAAGGTTATTAATTTCATGGTGTGTGAAATGGTATTTGGTCCCAAAAATTCTGAAGGTAGTCAGTCCTCTGTTAAATCCTAACCCTCTGTTAGGATCATAGAAAAAGGAACTCAGGAACTCAAGGGTTAGCCTATGATACTTGCTAAACCTCCTCCTCACATCAAACTTATCCCATCTTATCTGGATAAGTAGGTACATTACACTATCTCGGATACCAAGGGTGGTCATGGTGGGTCCATCAGAGTAGATAGACAATGTCATATCTCTCTGAGCTAATACTTTGAAACATCGCCTTTGGGCTTCATTCTTGAAGATCACCTCCATGTCATCAATGGGTTGCATTCTCTATAGTTAGTGTCAAGTTAGTATAAGCTATGTTAGCCTGAAAGTAGACATAGAATAAGTTATTAGTGGTTAGAACAATTAATTGCATCGCATAAAAGTGTTTATAAAATGAGAAAAGTAAAAGGAATAAAACTCTAGAACCGAAGATCGTGGATTGCCTCCCACGTAGCGCTTCTAGTTTGTAACTTATGTAGAAATATTTATTTTTACGCTATGGTAATGCTTAAGTCGCTGCTTATTTACAACAAATGTCTCATTTAATTTACCTCGTATTTCTACAGCTTCGCTTTGGAATATTTTTATAACCTCAAATGGGTCGAACCATCTTGAACGAAGTTTGCCTGGAAATGATTTTAGTCGAGAATTGAAAATAAGGACTATGTCATCCTCCTTAAATTCTCTCCTCGCTATTCGCTTATCATGCCACTATTAAGTTCTTTCTTTGTAAATACGGGAATTTTCATAGGCATCTAATCTAAATTCTTCTAGTTCGTAGATGTCTAAGATTCTTTTCTCTCCTACGGATGTGTAATTCATGTTAAGGTACTTAATGGCCCAATAAGTTTTGTGTTCTAATTCGACCAGCATGTGACATGATTTACCATAAACTAGTTTAAATGGAGTGGTTCCTATTGAGTTTTATAAGCTGTTCTATAAGCCCACAGAGCTTCATGAAGTTTCACAAACCAATCTTTCCTTGAAGTTGCAACGGTTTTCTCTAACATTTGCTTAATTTCCCTATTGGAAATTTCAACTTGTCCAATCGTTTGAGGGTGGTAAGGTGTTGCTACTTGGTGTCGGACTCCATATTTGAGCAACAGTCGCCCAAAGATATTTGAAATGAAATGGGAGCCACCGTCACTAATGATGAGTCTCGGCATACCGAATATGGGAAAGATAATGTTATTAAAAAGCCTAATAACTACTCGTGTGTCATTTATAGGAGAGGTTATGGCCTCTATCCATTTCAAAATTTAATCAACAACTACGAGTATGTATTTGTTACCAAAAGAAGATGGGAAGGCGCCCATAAAGTCAATACCCCACACATCAAAGACTTCCACTTCTAAGATACCTTTTAGTGACATCT